GGAAATGGTTACATGATTAAATTGGAAATACAGTACAGGTTGATTTATTCCACCCCCCGCTTGCCTTGCTTACTGGATGCTTATTACAGTGAGCTGAAGGCACTTCAGAAGCCTTAAGTGCTCTCTGAATTATCAAAGGAAGATGGACTTCGGCTCAGTAGAGTGTTTGTGCTTAGTGCCTATTACTGGATTCTGATTCTTTGGAAACAAATTAATCCGGAGGGATATATTGTTTTTTTATGGTTCTGAATATTTGGTTAGCCTGAATGTATTAAGATCTTTTACCCCAACCGTGACAGATGGGATTAAAATTCCTTCCCTGAAAAGAATATATTCCTTTATGCTTCCGCTATAAATTTATATACAAGTCATGTTTTGTAAAGTCGTGTTCTTCTCTTGCTATTTGGTACATTCCCTGTAGCAGCCTCGAGGTCCCAGCATTTTCCCTTCAGGAGACCTTGGAATCATTGGGGTACAGGGCAGCCAAGTGACCTGCCCAAGCCCATGAGTCATTTTGTTTTGTTTTGTTTTGTTTTTTGAGACAAGGGTCTTGCTTTGTCACCCAGGCTGGAGTGCAGTGGTGCGGTCTCGGCTCACTGCAACCTCTGTCTCCCAGGTTCCAGTGATTCTCCTGCCTCAGCCTCCTGAGTAGCTGGAATTACAGGCATGCACTGCCACACCAGGCTAATTTTTGTATTTTTAGTAGAGATGGGGCCTTGCCATGTTGCCCACGCTGGTCTCGAACTCCTGACCTCAAGTGATCCACTCACCTCAGCCTCCCAAAGTGCTGGGATTACAGGCATGAGCCACTGCTCCAGGACAAAAACTAAGTATCATGTTTTCTTAAACTGCATGTTTAAGATTTCATATTTAAAAATGAATATCGTCTGACCAATGTGTATTTTAATTTATTCTCTGATATACTGTAAACTAGGATTGTTTTAGGAATTATAAGGACCTCAGGAAACTTCTGTGTAGTATAAACTGGAAACAATTCATATCCACCACAGAAAATCACTAACAGTGCCGGGTGTTAACAATACGTAGTGGGGAATGAGTGATGGAGGGAATGAGTGATATGGACAATTGGTGAAGCCCTGTTAACTGGGCAATCAGGAGAAGGGAACTGATGGGGAAGGGATTGGAAGCTGAAGGCTGGGAAGGATTTGGATAGATGAAGGGAGAGCATAGAGGGAGGGCTGGCAGGATTCTTGCCGATCCAGCTGGTTAATATTGGCTTGCCCCAATTTTCCTTCTAAGCTAGGTCAACATAAATTTCCAGGCATCCTATTTAGACTGTATATAGAGACCCATTGACATCTGGGTCTGTTCTAAGCTGCTGTCTTTCATTTCCCTCCAATCAGAGCTTGTTGGGTTGGATAAGGTGGAGATAGGGGTCACAGATTACCAGGGCAAGCAGGTCTGTGCTTCAGAGAGGAAGTAAAGCATGAGCACTTCCCTTTAGAATTGATCTGTTGCGGGACAAGAGGCCTTGAGGAGCAGAGAAAGCTGCGCCAGGCTCCCTTTCCCTGCTCAGTCGTTCGTTCCTGGGCTAGATGGGTGGAACGAGGCATCTCTGGGTTTCGCAGGTCACAGAGGGTACAGCTTGTTTCCTAACTGGCTCTTAAAACCTGCCTGCACTCTGTGCTTTTTCTTCACCTTGCCATACGTTACTTCTTGCCCTCTTGAACCTCCTGCCAGAGCTGATTGCACTTAGGTGCTAGGAAGGAGTATTTATCTCCAAGGTCTGAATGCATCCTAATCCTTATTGAACTGCAAGCTATGACGGCAAGACTTGGATATGTAAGTGAGAATTGATTTTGGTCATAGGGGATGTCATAAATTTCCTCAAAAAATAAAAGTAAAAAAAGAGGACAAAAGAGTGAGAAAAAATGGCCTTTCGTTATGGGAAACTGGGAGTTTTTCCTACAGATTTCATTCCTGCCTTATATGGATTTCCTGGAATTCTTCTAGCAGATTCCAGCAGTGCCCTCCAGATCTGACCTCTGTCCCCTCAGGGTTAGGATTCATAGTATGTGACAGTCTTTGCTATTCGGGTCACCTTCTGGGAAGGCCAATGGCCAGGAGATGGTTTGCATGAGCCCTCAGCAGGGTGCAGAAGCCAGGTGATCCCTGTATCTCATTCCCACGTTTGGTAAACACCTCTCTTATGTTTGCCCTCCTGTGCTTGTTGCTTCTGGTCCCCAGCTCATCACAGCTTCCCAGGGCCCCAGTAGAAACAAGGGTTTACATTGGGTAACCTCACTGTGCTGCAGCTGGAACCTGGCTTTCAGGACTTCAGGACCTTTGGTTGAGTGGTTTTAGAAAAAGGTTACTCAGGGGCTGGGCGTGGTGGCGGTGGCTCACAACTGTAATCCCAGCACTTTGGGAGGCCTAGGCAGGTGGACCACCTGAGATCAGGAGTTCAAGACCAGCCTGGCCAATATGGTGAAACCCCCTCTCTACTAAAAATACAAAAATTAGCTGGGCGTGTTGGCGGGCACCCGCAATTCCAGCTACTTGGGAGGCTGAGGCAGGAGAATCACTTGAACCTGGGAGCAGTGAGCCGAGATCATGCCACTGCACTCCAGCCTGGGCAACAAGAGTGAGACTGTCTCAAAAAGAAAAAAGAGAAAAAGAAAAGGCTACTCAGACTGAAGTGCCCTCAGGCCTTTGAAAAGAAATGAAATTTCAAACAAATAATTTTCTACTTAGCCTTTTTCTTTTAACTTCAGAAGGATTATCTGGATGACTGGTACTTACATAAAAAGATAGTTAAGTCTTTTTAAACTACAGACAATACAGGTTTCACTGGACTCATTTTTCAAGATGCGAAATTGTTGAATTGTTTTCCTTTGGTAATTGAAGCCAGAATTCAATGTTTTCTCTAACGTACTTTCAGATTCTTTGCCCTCTGGAGAACGTTTTGCTCGCTTTGCAGGGGTTACGAGCGAGTGTCCCTGAGGGTCTCTCTCTGCCCCCTCCCAACGCCTGGCCGCTCTGTTCCGACTGCTCCCCCTGCCGGTCGGGTCCGGACACTGCAGGGAGCCTCATGTCCTCGGATGATGAAGGATTCCTTCTGTACCTCTCATCATGTCCTTTTCTACTGGCTTCAACTCGCATGTCCTCTGTCTTGAGGAAAGAAAGAAAAAAATGAAATGTTTCTTTTGCCTTCCTGTCATTTTACGCTGTCGCCCTAACTGATATACTTGGAGGCAAAGGGAATCGAAAGGGCGTGTACTTTGGAACCAGACAAGCCTCAGTTCAAGTCCGGGCTTTGGGAAACCATGATCCGGGAGTTCTGGGGCAAAGTAAGGCTTTCTGAGCTTTAGCTGTATTATTTGTAAAATGGGAATAGTACCGATCTCCTAGAGTTATAGTGTTAAATGCCTCCCTTCCTTTCTTTACTCTGACTTCCTCCACCACCACCTCATGGTCCCTGATTCCTTTCCTCCCTTCCCTGCAAGCTTCCGAATTCTGTGTGCCCCAGGTAGCATTGGCGCTTCTGGGGCTCCCCGCAGTTGGCAAGAGCAAGTCACTGTGTGAGCAAGTCTTGGGCTCTGTTATCTTCTGATGCTGAAGTCAGGAAATAGAGGGCTGGAGGTCATTGTGCTCATTTTCCCAGAGATTATCAGTGCCAACCCCACCCCTTTTAGGAGCTGACATGTGCCATGATCGTAGCTCAGTGGGATCTTTAATGCCTACTGATCTTGGCTTAACAGGACAAAGAGTCCAAGACCGTGTCTGTTCTGGGAAGCAAAGCAGGATGTGTGGGCCTGGAGTGAAGCTTTGTTCCACTTCTCGCCATAGGCCACGGTATGAGTACAGCTGTGTCTAGTGCTGCCTGGTTTTACTTTCATGCCTGATTTGCAATGTGGCAGGGTCCTGAGATGAGGGAGCTCTGTGTGGGCCAGTAGAGTCAAGAGACTTTGGCCTGGTCACTTGGCTACTGGCAGGGGGTTCTGGAAAGTCAAGTTCTCTGAATCTCAGTTGCCTTTAATATAAAAGGAAAGCTATAGTTTCTGGCCTGATTGATTCACATGGTTTTGGGCGGGAGTAAATGAAATTAATGTAAATTAAAAACACATTATGAGTAGCAAAATGCTATGCAATCTAAAAATGACATTTTAATAACTCTTATCATATGTACCAGACATTGTTCTAAGCTGTCTACAAATAGTAACTCATTTAGTTGAAAGCTCACAACCACCTTATGAGAGAGCTGTTAATATCACCACTTTACTGATGGGGAAACTGAGGCACAGAGCGGTTAAGTAACTTTGTGGAAGGTCACACAACCAGCAAGTGGTATAGTCAGGGTTTGAACCAGGCAATGAGGAGTCAGCATTTGTTATTGTTCCTATTCCTATAGCCTAGCTGGGAGGGGAATGCAGCACTGGTTTGGAGAACACATCAAGCAGGCCTCCTGTCATTCACTGAGTGAGATGAGATGATGACCATACATTGTGGCACAGCCAGCTATCCATGGTCTGCAGTAACAGATCAGTCTTGCAGGGACGTGGATAGCCCCGCTAGTGAACATTCATATGTTATTCAATGAATAGCTGGAGTAAGTGGTTGGATCTCATTTAGAGACGTGCTCTGGCATCCCACTTTCACATCATTTGCTTTCCAGGCCTACTCCAGGATGAGAGTACTGATGTGCCATAAAAGACCAACAGGCAAGATATTGGAGGGTTCAGGAGCTGCCAAGGTTGTGTTCATGCTGACCTGTGGGCATAGCGTACAACAGTGCCAGTTGCTCTGCTAAACCAAGGAGCTGAGATGCTGTGCTGATTTCTACATGTTCCAGGCAAACACTTCCTGAGGATTGTCAGGATTTTCATAATGGATTGGCCCCAGGACCACTGAGCCAGCATCTATCTTTGACAGGTGTACTGAGAGATGACCTTTAAACCTAGGGATGTGCTCCAGATGCAGTTCCAGCTGGGCCAGTAAGAACTGCACGTTTATAGTGCTGTTTTCTCTTTCCTTCCCAGGCAGCCGGGATTGCTTACCACCTGCAGCGTGCTTTCGGAGGCGGCGGCTGGCACGGAGGCCGGGCTACATGAGAAGCTCGACAGGGCCTGGGATCGGGTTCCTTTCCCCAGCAGTGGGCACACTGTTCCGGGTCCCAGGAGGGGTGCCTGGCGAGGAGTCCCACCACTCGGAGTCCAGGACCAGAGAGTGTGGCCTTGACCTGGGAGGCCTCTTGGTTGGGAGCCCTGTTTCCAAGAGCGCAACAGCCCCTTCTGTGACCTCTGTGAGAGGAAACTCGGCACACTTTGGGATTCAGCTCAGAGGTGGCACCAGATTGCCTGACAGGCTTAGCAGGCTGTGTGGCCCTGGCAATGCTGGGTGGCAGCAAGAGTTTGCAGCCATGGACAGTTCTGAGACCTTGGACGCCAGCTGGGAGGCAGCCTGCAGTGATGGAGCAAAGCGTGTCCAGGCAGCAGGCTCTGTGCCATCAGCAGAGTTGAGTAGCAATAGCTGCAGCCCTGGCTGTGGCCCTGAGGACCCCCCAACCCCTCCTGGCTCTCACAGTGCCTTTGCCTCAAGCTTTAGCTTTATTCGGCTCTCGCTTGGCTCTGCCAGGGAACGTGGAGAAGCAGAAGGCTGCCCACCATCCAGAGAGGCCGAGTCCCCTTGCCAGAGCCCCCAGGAGATGGGAGCCAAAGCTGCCAGCTTGGACGGGCCTCATAAGGACCCTCGATGTCTCTCTCGGCCCTTCAGTCTCTTGGCTACACAGGTCTCAGAAGACTTGGCCCAGGCCGCCGGGAACAGCTCCAGGCCAGAGTGTGAGATGCATTCTTTACCGGACATGGACCCTGGTTCCTCCAGTTCTCTGGATCCCTCATTGGCTGGCTGTGGTGGTGATGGGAGCAGCGGATCGGGGGATGCCCACTCTTGGGACACCCTGCTCAGAAAATGGGAGCCAGTGCTGCGGGACTGCCTGCTGAGAAACCGGAGGCAGGTGGAGGTCAGTGTCTCCTCCACCTCTGCAGCCTAAGATTGTCGTGAGCTCAGATTAGCGCTGGGCAGATGGCAGAAAATGAGGGGTTCTGGGCTCAACTGCTATCCTCCTAAAAGCTGCAGCAGCTCCTTTTGGAGCTGGCTGAACAAGGATGTTGCTACACTTCTGTCTCTTTGAATTGGACACAGATCTGCCCTCCCCTTTGTCTTCTCTGTCACATAGGTGCTCAGATTTGCTCTCCATTGGGTGCCCCGGCCTAGGTGAGACGTGGTTAACTCAGCTCAGCTCTGCTTTGAGACAGGAAACTAGGGGCAGGGGAGATTGAGCTGGGTGATGTTTGGAAGGGGTTGAGAGATACAAAAATGGGGATGCCCTGTATCAGGGCGATCTTGCTCTTCATCCACTTCACTCATTCCCTTCCATCCTGCTGCAGTGACTGCTGCCTTCCATAGGGTCAGGAGACTTCGCTTCTGGTCATTGAACCTCTCCGGCTCTCAGTTTCCGTATTTAGAGATAACACCAACTCATAGGATTGTTCTAAGGCTCAAATGAGAATGTAGCTGCTTTGGAAATAAGGACAAACTGGAGACATCTAAGGCCTAGCCTTATGATGTTGCTGTCCATCCAGTTATCTGAGAGGTGGGTATAGCCAGAAGTAGGCAGGGTTCCTCTACCCACAGAAATTCCCAGAGAAACCCAGGTAGAGATGCTCTGTGGCTGATCTATTGCCAGACTGTGTTTTAATCCTGGTGTGTGTACATATGTGTGTTTGTGTGTGTGTGTGTGTGTGCATAGAGGTGTGCATGTGTGTACTTGTGTGTATGTGTTTGCGTGTGCATGTTTGTGCTGTGTGTGCATGTGTGTGTGTTTGTGCATGTGTGTGTGAGTGTATGTATTTGTGGGTGTGTGCACTCGTGTTTGTGTGTGCATATAGGTGTGCATGTGTGTGCGTGTGTGTATGTGTGTGTGCATGTTTGTGCTGTGTGTGCGTGTGTGTGCATGTTTGTGCTGTGTGTGCGTGTGTATGTGTGCGTATGCATGCGTGTGTGAGTGTATGTATTTGTGGGTGTGTGTGCACTTAGGTGTTTGTGCGTGTGTGTGGGGATGTGTTCATGTGAGTAGGGACGTGGAGCACCCACTCATCAGGCATTTGGGAGGAGAATCTGCAGAAGCTCATGCTCATTCCCCGAAAGAGCATCTACCTTCTGTTCTTTATCTATAGTCTGATGTTCCTAGCCCTGCCCCTGTTTGCCCTTTTTCAGCCCTCAGGGACCTCAGCCCAGCCCTCTGATTTATTATGCAGAGAGGGATTGAGGCCAGAGCAGAGATACAGGCTTGTATTCTGGGTGATGTGTGGTGTCTTCCGGTTAGTCATTGTCTAAACCAAGGCCCTTGTCTTTCCCCCAAACCCGTTCTGAAGGGCCTCCAATACTGGTTGATTCGAATGCATAGAATCTATCCAGTTTCTTAGGCCAGAAACCACAACCATCTTCCACACCTCCCTCTCCCTCGTTCCACATCTGGCTGGCCTCCAAGCCCTCTCAGTCCTACTGCTAATCTGTCTCTCACCACTGTGGCCGCTGCCCTGGCTCAGATCCTTGTTATCTTTCACCTGGGTTTTGCAAGAGGGTCTACCTTCCTGCGGTGTTTCTCTTCTCCAGTTAATTCAACTAAATGTGATCGTATGTGCAAAGTAAAGTGCTTCAGACAGGACCTGGCACCTAGCAAGTGCCCAGAAATTGCCCATTGTCATCATTAGAGAAATAGCTCCTATTTAGAGAGTTTGAGTCAAAAGCTAATGAAGCTCTCCCTTCTGCCCATAGCTCAAATTAAATTCCTATCTTCTCTCAAATGGTAGAATCTGGATGCACTTTTTCTGCAGTGTAAGTATTGTTGTCTATGGCAGTCCCACACCTGGGCAGGGAAAAACATGGCACTATCTTCAGTTACACTCGTGTACTGCATAATGACATTTTGGTCAATGACGGATCACATATATGATGTGACAGTGGTCCTATGAGATTATCATATAGTGTTTTTGTTGTACCCTTTCTACGTTCAGATATGTTTAGATACACCAGTACCTTACCATTGTGTTACACTTGCCTGCAGTGTTCAGTACAGTCACAGGCTGCACAGGTTTGTAGCCCAGGAGCAATAGACTCTTCCCTCTAGCCTAGGTGTGAAATGGGCTACACCATCCAGATTTGTGTAAGCACAATCTACGATGTTCACCCAATGATGAAGGCACCTAATAATGCTTTTCTCAGAATGCGTCCCTGTCATTAAGGAACGCAAGCCCGTACTTGAGTATCTGTTGTGTGGGAGAGGAATTAACTGAGTAGTGGGAATGACGAAAATAACTCAGCCCAGGGCACAGGACTTACAGGAAGACAGAGTTTGCCTCAATAGGAGGAAGAACCTCTTGACAGTGGGAACTGTCTGTGATGGGGCGGGCTGCTCAGGGACTTGTTTTCCCGTGGTGCTTACGCAGAGGCCCCAGACTGCTCACTGGGGTTGCGGCTGAGGCCCTTGGGACGGGGCGGAAGATCGGGTGAATGATCTCCAAAGAGATCCTTTGAAAGAGTAGGATTTCTAGTGTTTGGGAGCCTTTTTGATATTATATTCTAATTCCTTAACCTCCTCTCCCTTCTACTTAAGTAAAAATGGGAATCTCAGGAATTTAAGTTTCAGCTTCTTCTAAAAGTTGCTTGATCCTCAGTATTCATGGATTCTATATGTGTGAATTCGTCTACTTGCTAAAATTTGTTGTTAACTCCAAAATCAATACTCACGGCACCTTTATGGTCGTTTTTCATTTTGAATTTATTTTTTTTAAGAGATGGGGGTCTCTGTCATCCAGGCTGGGGTGCAGTGGTGTCATCATAACTCTCTGTAACCTTGAACTCCTGGGCTCAGGTGATTCTCTTGCCTCAGCCTCCCTAGTGGCTGGGACTACAGGCGCATGCCACCAGGCCTGGCTATTTTTTTTTTTTTTTTTGGGTAGAGATTAGGGTCTCACCATGTTGCCCAGACTGGTCTTGAACTCCTGGCCTCAAACAATCCTCCTGCCTCAGCCTCCAAGGTACTGGGATCACAGTCATGAGCCACCATGCCTGCTGGTAATTTTGAACTTGCACAGAGTGGCAAAAAATTTGGGTCACCTGATGTACACGCTTTCTACTCAGGTCAGACAAGGTCAGACCAGATGACATTCTACCTTCTCTCTCATACTACAAACTGGTACCCTTTTTGTGGTCTATTTAATGCCATCTTTTTTAACGTTTTTGTGCTCTTTATTGGTGAGTTCACCATTGCAAATGCCCCCCAAGCATAGTGCTAATGCCATCTAGTGCTCCTAAGCACGAGAAGGCTGTGATGGGCCTGATGGAGAAGATATGGGTGCTCCAGAAACTTCATTCAGGTGTGAGTTAGAGTGCTGTTGGCCAGAGTACAATGTTTATGGATCATTAATACGTATTAAGTAAGTTGTTTTTAAACAGAAACACACATAGAACAAGGTTATGTGTTGATTGATTGAGGAAAGTATTCTGACCAGGGGCTCACAGGAACCTACCCTGTATTTCCTCCTAGGAGCAATGCTTCATTATTCCCTAATTCAGTATTCACAGAAACTTTATGGAACGTAACTACAGTACTGTGAATAAGGAGAATCAACTGTGTATATTTTATGCTGTTTAGCAATCGCTGCTTAGCAAGATTTCCAGAGGTTGTGTGGGACTGAGAGGCTAGTAATAAAGGCAGTTGGTGATCAGGCATGCAGAGGAGGGGAAGTGGAGTGGGCCCTGCAAGGTAAGCTCCACCTAAGGCCATGGAAACTGGTGAAAAAGGAAGGACTGTGCCTGCAGGGCATGATAGGACATTCCACAGGCAGGGTTGTGGTACCGTGCAAGACATGGCCACTGGGGCTGTGCTTCTAGCAAAGATGGGTATTCAGACATATCCTAGGGCAGTCCATTCAAGGCCTTATAGAGATCACTGGACAAGGTGGGCATCGTGGGGTGGGCTTTGGCTATAAATGAATTTTTTTCTCTGACCCTGTTTCCTGCATTTCTTCAGCTTCTATTCTAATAAATGTTTAACGATACCATTATTTGGGTGTGGTGATGGTAATGCTATAGCTTTATGTGGCCTTCAAACACTCACAGAGCCTTGCTTCTCTCCCTAATATACGGGACTAAGTTAGTGGTAAATTTTGCAGTTGTAATATAGAGCAAGTCAAGGACAAAGGGGTTAATATGATTATTCATTCATTCTTTCATTCATTCAGAAAGTGTTTGTCAATGACAACTAGTACAATGCCTTATGCTAGGCTTTGGAGATTGTGTTAGTTAGGATAGGCTGGTAACAGACACTATGTTACAGGCTCAACACAACAAAATTGTGTTTCTTGCATATGCTTCATGTTCCACAGAGGTTTTAGGGGGTCTCTGCTCCATAGAGTCACTCAAGAACCCAGCCTGCACCATCTGAACATGTGCCCCCCTTAGTCACAGACATGAAGAAGAGAATGTTAAGGAGTCCTACAAGAGCGATCAAATGCTTCAGCATAGAGGTAACCCCATCATTGCCAATCATACCCTGTTCAGCAGAACAAGGAGAGAGGCACTTGTACTCTTTCCATGTGCCCAAAGCAGTGGAAAAATCAAGTAAGGGTAAGTACTAGCATCTTATACATGGATGCAAAATAGTTCTTGCCCTCCAGATGCTCAAGGTCGAATGATATGCACAGATAAAACCAAACAAAGCAAAATGATGGCTATAGCCTGGTGTAGTAAGTCCTCCGTTCTTCCAGTGGCTCAGAAAACAAAAAACAAAAAACAAAACAAACATTGGCATCATCCTGGTGCGTTTTCCTCAGACCCCACCTGTGAGGTATTAGCAAATCCTGTTGGCTCTATATTTAACCAGTGATCTTTTGAATATATCCGGAATCAGATCACATCTCACCATCTTTGCCATTGCCACCATCCTCACTATCATCCAAGCTCCCGTCGTCTCCTTCCTGAACGTTACTATGGCCTCTTACCTGGCCTCCCTTCTTTTGCTCTTACTAACAGCAGCCAGAGTGAAACTGTTTAAAATGTAAGTCAGATCATGTGCTCTTCCACCCCAAACTCTCCAGTGGCCCCCATGAACTTCAGAGTAAAATCAGAACTTTTAAATGGTCTTCGTGTCTCTTCTTGACACAGTCCTCATTACCTGTGTGACCTCGTTTTCTACAGTTTTCCCTTCCATCAGTCTGTCCCAGATCCAGTGGCATTCTTGCTCCCACTTGCTTTTCATTTCACGTTCACTTCTTGCTTTCTTACCAGAAACACTTCTGCCTGAGCCTTTGTACTGGTTCTTCCCTCTGTGGCAATGTTTTTCTCCCAGACAGCCTCATGGTTCACTACCTTACCGCTTTTAAATCTTTGCGTAATTGTTACCATCTCAAGGAGATCAGATTTCAAATTGCAACCTCCACCCTCTACCAGCATCCCTGATCCCCATAATGTGGTTCTCCCTTTTCCTTTTTCATAGCATTAGTCACTTGCTAAGGTGCCATAAAACTTACAGTTGACCCTTGGAACAACAGGGATTTGAGCTGCAAGGGTCACTTATATGCAGTTTCTCTTTCACTCTGCCACCCCTGAGACAGCAAGAGCAACCCCTCTTTCTCCTCCTCAACCTACTCAAGTTGAAGATGATGAGGATGAAGACCTTGATGATGACCCACTTCCACTTAATGAATAGGAAGTTTATTTTCTATTTTTAAAGATTTTTTTGTCGTCTAGTCCATGTTGGATTTATTTTTTTCTCAATGATTTTTAAATAACATTTTCTTTTTTCCAGTTTGCTTTTATTGTAAGAATACAGCATATAATACAAAATGTGTGTTAATCAACTGTTTATGTTTTTGGTAAGGTGTCTGGTCAACAGTCAGCTATTAGTAGTTAAGTTTTGGGGAAGTCAAAAGTTCTACACAGATTTTCAACTGTGAGGGCAGGGGTTGGTGCCCATAATCCTTGTGTTGTTCAAGGGCTGACTGTATTATGTTTTTGCCTAGAATGTAAGTCTAGAGGGCTAAGCATTTTATGATGTATCCTTGGTACACCAACACAATACAAACAGGGCCTGATACCTAAGAGGCACTCAGTAAATATTTGTTGAATGGGTCTGTGAATAGAAGCAAGTACAGGTCACAATGGAGGTATAGAGGAGGGACATTTAACACAGACTGGAGGAGACAGCACTTGTGCTAGGGGTTGAAGGAAATGTAGGTGTGAGCCAGGCAAAGAAGGAGGAAGATGTTTTTCAGGGAGCAAGCCCAAATCCATTCATTGGTAGGCCAAGGATTCATTGTCAGTAAATCTTTGGGTCTCCTGTTGAGAAGAACAATGATTGTATTGGTCAGTTCTCATGCTGCTAATAAAGACATACCCAAGAAAGAGGTTTAATGGACTCACAGTTCCATATTGTTGGGGAGGCCTCACAATCATGGTGGAAGGCAAAGGAGGAGAAAGGCACATCTTACATGGTGGCAGGCAAGAGGGAGCTTGTGCAGGGGGACTCCCTTTTATAAAACCATCAGATCTCATGAGACTTACTCATTATCATGAGAACAGCATGGGAAAGACCCACCTCCATGATTGAATGACCTCCCACAACATGTGGGAATTATGGGAGCTACAGTTCAAGATGAGATTTGGGTGGGGACACAGCCAGACCATATCAGTGTTGCTAAGTCAACCTATTGGTAACACTCAGAGAAGTAACTGGATCACTGAGTCTCCATGTGGGTTAAATAAGACTGTGCCCTTTTCTGTAATGGAAAATATTTGAACCTTAGGGCTTCTCAGAAGCGTTTTGTGAGAGCTTTGCCATCATTCTTACTCAAGCTTTCAGGATGACCTGCTGAGCTTAAGTTCATGCTCTTTTTCTCTTGGCTTCTCTTCCAGTTTTGGTGTGTTTACCTTCATAAGTTTAATGTGATGTTTAGAACAGAGACCATTTGGTCAGGAAACTTGTGTTCCTTCTCCTTATGCATTTCTTCATGCGGATAAAGGCACAGTGTGATGTTTTTGTTTAAAATAAAATAACATTTTAACTTTTTATGTGGATGTTATGCTCAAATTACATTTATTCTTTACATAAGCTCTTTTTTTGGAGAAACTAATGCATCTGGCATTGAAAAAAATGTGCATTTTTTAAAAGAGAATGAAGTTCATTTTGAAATAGTTTCTAAATGTTCTTAGTTTTCACAAAAATGTTTGCTTGAATTCTATCATAATTCTTTATTTTTTCCCCTTTATACCAACATAGGTAATATCCTTAAGATTAAAACTTCAGAAACTTCAAGAAGATGCAATTGAGAATGATGATTATGATAAAGGTGAGTTTTAATTTGTTTATTGATTGTTTTCTCATCATGTCCCATTTTCTTTCCACCTTTACTCATATCTACCTTTTAAGTCCCAAATGAATTGTACAATCTGTTCCTCTGATCATCTCCACCAGAGAATAGTTGACTCTTTTACAGCATTATTGTTTTGTGGATTTCAAAGTACTTTGTGAACATTAATCCTTTGGGTTAGAAATATAACCTTATCAGTTGTCCAGAAACACTTAACATACTCACACAATAAAAATTATATTAGTCTGCCCATGGTGTGATATATCTATAATCCATTTGTTCATAAAAAATATTTGTCTGACACCTATTATGTGCTGGGTAATATGGGAGGCAATAGGAAAGTAAGACAGACATGATGTCCGCCCTTGTAATGCCAGTAAACATAAGCCTTCGTGGGACTTTCTGACTTCATAATTTCCAGAACCAGAGATCAGAAATGAGGTGAATTTGAGAAATGTCAGACTGTGCCAAAGGGGGTCACATGCGTCAAATTTCCACATACATGGCCTAAAATACCCAAGATAAAAAGGAGAAATTGCAACATCAGACCAGAGATAGAGGGATTGATCTGAGGCCAGAAAAACAAACAAACAAACAAACAAACAAAAAACAATTAAAATGAGGCACCAAAATAGAAGTTGGGCTGGAAGCAGATGAGGGCTGACATGGGGGTTGAATGGGCACAGGGTAGACTGAGTCAAAGGAAAGCTTTCAGGTGTGGTTGTCCTAGTAACAATCCTGAAAACTTTAGATGCTCATTGCGAGATCTCACATCCATTTCTGCTGGGTGTGGGAAAGAGAAAGGGCTGAAAATGACATCTAGATTCCCCTAGGCACCTACTAACTTGATAGATACTCCTGGTATTGAGCAAGTTAGGACACCCAGGATTGGTATGGAAATGGAATGTAGGTTTAAGGATTCTTCTGGAAGCTGGTTAGCCTTAAGGCATGGGTCTTCAGCCTTCTTAGCTCATATGACATTCTCATTATATATGTCATATACTGTTGGAATTAGGGCACTATGGGAATAAGATAAGTGATTTCCAAAAGGAGGTAGAAAATCCTGTTCTAGGAAATGCTGTTGCATGTTCTCACCACCTATTCATTGCAGTTGAGTTTAGAAAGTCATGGGGCATGGGAGGAAGGGAGGAAGGACTGGAGAGGGGAGGGATTCTTGACATTCTCCCAGTCCTCCTTCTACAGGCCACTTGATTTCATAATAACACTAGGTGGAGGATGAGGTGCCTGAGAGAGGAGGCAAGTTGGAGGCAGGGGAAGGCACCCCTCAAGCCCAGCGTCAGCGGCTTCAGCCCGGGCACAGCTGTAGGTAGGGAGAAAATGAGCTATTCCTGGGCCAGGGCTCACCTGCTGGGTTTCATCTATGAGAGATAATTACATCTAGCTTTGAAGCTCCCCAGTATTGCACAGATTTATTTTTATTACCATAGGTTGAGTCCTGGTCTCTCTAGATTTAATGACACTGTAACACATAAAGCTTACAATGCAAGTGAAAAAGCAGGCCAATCAGGCCCTAGTTTGTCCCCTGCTCTTGCTCAGGACCTGGTGAACTTTCTAGACTTGGTTCTCTCAATGGACTTCATTAAATGGAGACCTCGCTTCTTTAGTCTTTTCTCCAAGCATTCTGCAACACCTAAGGGAATGGGGTTTGATAGGATACACCTCATCAGGGAAGCTCGGAGAATACAGGCATCTTCTTTAGTGTTTCTGCCTTTTTCTGTTCTTGTTGGTACCTCACTACTTACTGCATCAGGAGTTTCAGGGTGGGCTCAGCATTCTGTGTTTTCTCAAGCCTTCCTGGTGACTGGGGTGTGTCCTGAGGCTTGAGAAAACACTGGTGCAGAGCTCATGCCAGTGAGAGCCAGGCCTTCGGGGCAGCAGCCAGCCGAGCCCTGAAAGAGGAGTTGAGTCTGTGGGCTGTGTCCTTCCTGATCCACCAGAAATCTGTGCAGCAGACAAGCATCCTGGTAGGCACAGGACACATGATTTACATGCCACTCCCCTTGCCTTCTTCCTGATCCCATAAACCCGATTCAGTGCGTTGAGAGATAAATGTTCTTGTGCAATATGCACAATGCCTGGCATATAGGAGGCAGGCCCTCAGGAAATGTGTTGTGAGGGAATTAATTAATAAGTGACTTGCGTCTGAATGCATGGAGGCTGTGGATGGCAAGCTAGAGTGAATGAGGAGAAAGCACTCTTGCCACCTGAAGGTGGGCTTAGTTCTCAGCTCGTCTGCAGTGCCTAGGATGGGGGGTGGCAGTGGGTGAAGGGGAAGATCTTTGCATAGAAATTGGCTTATGTGGTGCGGTAGCTCACACCTGTAATCCCAGCACTTTGGGAGGCCGAGGCAGGCGGATCACGAGGTCAGGAGATCGAGACCATCCTGGCTAACACGGTGAAACCCCGTCTCTACTAAAAAATACAAAAAATTAGCCAGGCATGGTGGCAGGCACCTCTAGTCCCAGCTGCTCAGGAGGCTGAGGCAGGAGAATGGCGTGAACCCAGGAGGCAGAGCTTGCAGTGAGCCGAGATTGTGGCCACAGCACTCCAGCCTGGGTGACAGAGCGAGACTCCATCTCAAAAAAAAAAAAAAGAAAAAAAAGAAAAAAAAAAGAATTTGGCTTATGTGAAAAATATCTATTAAGTATCCATTGTATATAACAGCACTTCTCAGACTTTAATGTGCTGTGAATAACCTGGGTAGGTAATGGATTAAAATGAAGATTCTGATTAAGTAGGACTGGGGTGGGGTGGGAGACTCCATTTCTAATGATCTCCCAAATCATGTGCATACTGCGAGCCTGTGAGCCACACTTAGAGTAATAATGGCATATAAGAAATCGAAACAACACCGGGTTTAGGGCATACCGAATGCTGTCCTCAAGATCTGCATCTCAAGGAGTACGCAGTGCAGGAGGGGAAACTGGATAATACACAGTAAGAATAATAAAGCTATACATAATATGTCCATTAAGATAAAGACAGACCAGGTGGGTGGATCACGAGTGAGGTCAGGGAGTTTGAGACTGGCCTAGCCAACATAGTAAAACCCGTCTCTACTAAAAATACAAAAAAGTGTGGCTGTGCATGGTGGCAGGCACCTGTAATCCCAGCTACTCGGAGGCTGAGGCAGGAGAATCGCTTGAACCCAGGAGGCAGAGGTTGCAGTGAGCCGGGTGCGCCATTGCGCTCCAGTCTGGGCAAAGTGCGAGACTCCATCTCAAAAAAAAAAAAAAAAAAAAAAAAAAAAAAAAAAAAAAAAAAAAAAAAAAAAATCGTAAAGAGAAAAGACAGACAAAGACAATCCCAAAAGCAGACAAATGACTTCTTCCAGAGCTCTTGGGGTGGGTGAAGAATCAGAGCAGTGGAGGAGGAGACAGTTTAGAGGGGTCCTGAAGGATGGGTTTGATGCAACAGGCAGGCATTCCAGCAAAGAGAAGAGGGAGAAAGGGACTTGCAACTGACTATGGTTTGAAATGGATCACAAAAGGGCTCAGTGCTTGGATTTGTCAGTGATCAGTAAATTATTATAAATTGACCACTAAGTCATTAGGAAAGTTTGGAAGACATAAAGGTAGAGAATTTGTTGTTATGAGATTTATTCAAATAAGATTTGAATACAATTTCCTCTCTCATATAGTGTATTGAGGGTAACTCTTAAACATTTTAAGAATTGTTGAGTTTTTTTTTCAGTTTTTACTTGAATTTGCTCCTTTTTCTCTGTTAGGAGCAGCTGTGCAGCCCTGCTCTGTCTCGGGGGAAGGGGTCTGCCGGAATCTGAGAGGTTTGCCAGAAGAAACGAGAGGGTGACCTTATCTCCCTTGGTTTTTGTTGCTTTTTTTTTTTTTTTTTTTTTTGCTCTTTTTTTCTTTCTAGCTTCACTCATAAAAATGACTTTGTGTTCCAAAGAAAGAAGCAGTTGGCACAGAATAGAGAGTTCCATGTTTTATTTCATCAAAGTGCTGGCAAATTTCCCCACTAATGCCTTGTGGGAAAACCTTCCCAGGCTCTAATTACATCTCTCCATCACTAGGGAAGTAAAGTTAATATTTCCTTATATTCTTACATAAGGTGGGAGGGCTTGGGAGAAAAAGAATAAGGCTTTTGATTAATCGTATTTGCATAACGTCCTTCTCCAGGAGCTTTCATTAGGTTCATTGCATTAATGCCTGTCCCATGCTTATGGTCAGTTGAGGGGTAAGTTTGACACCTCAGGGTCCTGCAGAGACAGGAACCGTGGTCAGTACTGGAGATAAGGATTCCAGCTCTGACCTGAGTGGGGCAGAGGAAAGGTGGGCGTGGACAACAAGTTTCCATGTGGTTACTGTTCTAGTTGTTCCTGCACCTGTTTGTGCCCCATGATATCCCCCTGGCTGCTCTTGTCCCATGTCCACCAGGGACCATGCTTACCTCCACTTCCGATGTGAGCAAGGAGAGATTGTGAAAAGGAAGGAAGACAATTTTGGGAACCCAGCATTTCGGTGACTTATATCAATGTGACATATAGTGCAGCTGGCTTCACTCTGCTTCTTTAGAATTTCCTTCTTGGAGTAAAAGTAGCCATTGTATTACTTTCTCTATCCTTTGTCTCAACTCATATCCATTATGACATAATTCTTACATAATATGACACAATTCTAGTATAATAAACATTCTAGTATAATGACAGACATTGAAAGAAAAATGATGGCGGCCGAGGCCAAGCATAAAAACACGTTAGGGTGAGACCAGCTTTTGTCTAAATTACCATAATATCCCTTTTTCTGAATTATGTCTTGAACAAGATTTCTCTATCCTCAGTTACTCTTCAGTGATGGTGTGCAAATTTCCCAACCTGATACCACTTTCCTTCGCAGGGAACCTGCCTTACACCTCCCACAGGGTTTGGTGTCTCAGTGGCTTCCAGGAGCCTGGCAGTTAGAACCAGAATCCCTGCCACAGAACTGTTGATGTGACTG